GGAGCTGATCCATGTCAATATTCCTCGCCCCATTAGATCTCACACTTGCAGACGGACAAACACAAAGTCCTTCGACTTCCAGCAACAATTGAAAATGTTGGTGTGTTCTCAGTGTTTCTCTCCTAACCAATCCCAGCTGAACCCAAACCCCAGGGCTGTTCTGGCTGCTGAGAAGAAACCAGCTCTGCCCCAGCTACAAACCAGGACAACTTATCTCTGCCATGGTCTGAATGGGTAGAAGTTGCTGTAGTCCAGCTGCAAGGGACACCATCATCTCGTCATGTCTCCTCACAGTTCATTAGTCAAAGGCACTGCTTCATTAAAGGTGTTTTGTTATGTGATCTCTATTTAGATACACATTTTCTGCTCAGACCGATGCAGTCATCGTCACATGCCATCACTGTTTTTTTGAAATGGGAGAGATTTAGCCAGATCTCGTTGGGTGTAGAAATTAAACTGTATTTTAATTTCATGCAAAGTGCCTGTATCTTCTGATCCACGAGTGTGTCGTATTTACCCTGATCAGGCTGTACTGTAAATTGTGATTTATGAAGTGGTAGCGCACAAGTGTGTGTGCTTTTACTGATAAACACGTCATCTTTCCTGGTGAGTTGGAACTGGATTTGAAAGAAAAATTTTTCAGAATACAAACATTTCTTAATATTCGTTAGTTGTTTGGCTTCAGTCCTTGGGTTTGGATTTGTACAGGAGTTTAGGTCTCATTGTGAATCTTGAATTCCTACTGACACAAGGGCCAGGGAATGGTATTTGTTCAGAATGATGGTTTTAAGCAGTGTTACCCTACGTGTGTTGAACAACGCGGGGCTGATCTCCAATATACGTGTGTGTATTTATAAATATATATATAAATAGAAATATATTTGTATGTACATGTGTGTCAGCTGTTCTGTGCAGGCAACCCAGGTTTCATCAGCTGTAGATTACTTCATTTGACCACAGAAGGATCCCCTGAATGATTGCATAGTATTGGAGATTTTATCCTATAAATATTGGAATATTTATATGAATAGTAAAACTTTTCCCATTCTATTTTTATTAAAGGAAAACCACTGCAGAAGAATAAAAATCCTGGGGGACTGTTACTACTGTGTGTCAGGACTGACCCAGCCCAAAACAGATCACGCCCATTGCTGTGTTGAAATGGGACTGGATATGATTGACACCATCACGTGAGTACTGTGCGCGGTGAGCCCGGCCGGGAGGGCTGCAGCACCTTCCACGTGGCATTTAGGAAATGTGTTCCCAGGAAAAGAGCCAGCAACTGCATCTTCAGCAGCGGAGAAAGTTATCTACCATAAGCTGACTTCACCACCACTGGTGAAAGCTGACTCAGCTTGCACCTCTGTCAGAGTGAGCCTCTTGACTGCTGAAGCCCCCAGACCTTCGCAGCCCAGGCTCTCTGCCCTAGGTGTCTGCTGCCATGCTCCAGGTGAGCAAGGCACTGGGAAAACGTGCAGATTTGGTCAGTATTTGTTTCAAAAACATGAACAAACAAAAAAAAGCCCCAACCCAACAAAAAAAAGACCCCTGAACCTGACCTGGTGAAACAGCTGCCAAAAGAGGATGGCAGAGGTTTTCAAACAATAAAATTTGAATACATGAGAGGACTAGCGTGGCCCCTGCCTTGTGGGAAGACAAATCGGAGAGAGGGCGAGGTTGGTCAGTGTTCCAGGGTCACTTGGTGCTCTGGATCTTGGCCTACAGCCTCTCCTCCCCCGGCCGACTGGGCTGACAGAGCAGCTCACAGAGATGTAGTCTTTGTCATTAATGTCCAACCAACATCTGATTAACTCCTAACCAACTCGTCATGATCTTGAAATGGAAGTGACACCCAAATATTTAGGGAGACATGCAAAATCAGGGGGCACCCTTATCTTAGAACTGTGCATATATAAAATGCAAACATATATAACTGAACCAAAGTTCTTGTCTGTGCCTTTAACTGGGAAACATCTATTTCCAAACAGATATTTTGGGACCTAAAGAAAAGCCCTAAATAATTTATAAGAAATAGAATGCAGAGCTTTTTGGGTTTGTTGTGGGGTCGTTTTTTTTCCATTCAAATGCAGTACAGGTCTGGAGCTGTTCTGCAGATGATCTAAATGACTCTGATGGCTTGCAGCAGCACATGAAATATTTGTAGCTAAGGAGAGAAGTAGAATTGAAAGGCTTGGTAGGATACTGGAGCTGTCAGGGTAGATGGTGATTTATCAGTCACGCTTCTAGTTAAAAAGAAAATGTTTTTCAGTTTCCATTTGTTTCTGGGCCTACTTTTGCGTTACTATTTGGAAAACTTTTGAGTGTGTTATATCTGAACCTAGGAGAGAATAAGTTATAGTGAATAATTTATTTGAGAGACTTCTTTTCTTTTTCCTATTCATGGCTTGTTTGTGAAGTGCTGATATTTTTTTCAGGAATGTGTTTTATCATTAAAAATGCATCATTGGACATTTTTGTGATATTCTAGTGCAGAAATGTTGAAGCTGTTTGGGAATATGATCGTGGTACTGCTCCCATTTTATATTTGAAGCCTGTTCTTTATATATTACTTAACGTTCCTCATTTTTGATAGTTTAGTGGGGTGTATTCATGGAAATTAGCTGCATAAAGGGCACACAGATCTTCAAGGTAAATTCAGAAAGTTTAATGAACTGTTAATGAGCTTTTTTTCATGCCCAAATTTAATAATGGTGAAAGCAGCCCTGAACCACTCTGTAGTTTCTAGGAAAAAATGTAGAAATGTGTTCTCAATTTAGATTTTTTACTGAGTAACTGGAAATCTTTTGTTGAAAAGGTAAAGTTTTAAACAGTCACATTGTGGTCGCTTGCCATCCTGCAGAAATGAATAGGCATTGAGAAAAAGGAACGTTTATGACAAAAAAAAAGTAAATATGTGAGACACAGGGTAAACAGGGACGTGCTGGAGTTGAGCTGCCTGTCTCTGAGTTATGTGAGTTGCAGCCAGAAAGTTCTTTGTTTATCTCCCAGTAAAATATCTAAGTTTCTGTAGGGCTGTGACAGCAAATACTGCAAAAGTGGCAAATAAAACCTGAAAAATTATAGTCTTAGGGAAGTTTCATGACAAACCCGTTTACCATACTTGCTTTATTGTCTCCTTTTTTTCTTTTTAAAATTTTATTAAATGTAATGAAACATAACCTTTTCTGGGTTTCCTTGAAACCTGGAAAATTAAATTTTAATATATTTGGTCTAGAAATTTAGAAATACTGAAATTTCGGTTCAACGGTAATTAAAATCTGACCAAGAAAATGATTTCTTTGGAATTACAATTGGGGCTTTGAAACCAGTGAAGGAAATGAAGAGTACCTGAACATATCATCTGAGATTTTTGAAAGGTCCTGTCTATTCGGTCATGGGGATATAACTTTGGGGGAAGGAGAGAGAAATAAAATGAAGAGCAATGTCATTATCTGAAGGCTAATGCGCTGCCGCTGTCTGTTCCAGGTCTGTTGCAGAAGCCACGGAGGTGGATCTCAACATGCGAGTTGGGTTGCACACAGGCAGGGTGCTCTGTGGGGTCCTGGGTCTCCGAAAATGGCAATACGATGTCTGGTCAAATGACGTGACTTTAGCCAATGTCATGGAAGCTGGAGGACTGCCTGGGTGAGTCTGAGAAAGAACCACAGAAAATGAGGGAGAGGGATGGGTGAAGGTTTTCTGTCCTCCTTTGAGGCATTTGCAGCGGAATTGCTATCAATAACGAGGGTTGTGTTCGGTATGAGTGAGCAAGGTGTAATGTGACTTATCCCGTGGAGTCTCCAAGTGATCTTGTAGAATCACAGAGTTGTAGTGGTTGGAAAAGACCTTTAAGATCATCGAGTCCAACCACAAACCCAGCACTACCAATTCCACCTCTAACCCATGTCCCTGAGCACCTCGTCTGTTAAATCCCACCAGGGAAGGTGGCTCCAGCACCTCCCTGGGCAGCCTGTTCCAGTGCTTGACTACACTTTTGGTGAAGAAGTTCCTGCTCAGATCCAATCTAAACCTCCATGGCTCCAGCACCTGGCCATTTCCTCTTGTCCTGTCCCTTGGGCCTTGGTTGAACAGACCCACCCCCACCTCTCTCCACCCTCCTTTCAGGGACTTGGACAGAGCCAGAAGGTCTCCCCTCAGCCTCCTTTTCTCCAGGCTCAACAACCCCAGTTCCCTTAGCCACAAGGGAACTCAGCACACTTGTGCTCCAGACCCTTCCCCTCCTCTGTTGATATCTTGATATTTACAGTAGCAATAGGTTAGATGAGAAGCAAAACAATTCCAAATGAAATCCTTATTAGAAGCTGCTGAATAGAAAGAGTAGGAATGAGGCAGTGTGAGGAATTAGGAGCACTCAGCTTCCACAATTCCATGTTATCAAAGGAAACCCCTCTGGTTATTCCAGGGAGTACACACGTGGGGGGTGTGCCTTACTCCCTCTCCATGGCAAGATTTCCAACACTAGTAGGTTGCTATAGAGAAAAAATACCTGGTTACGCCCTGAAACATCGATGGGGTGTGTGTAAATGATACGGGAGCACGTGACCTGCAGCCAAGCCACGGGGCATGTCCTGGGATTTTCAGGACTCCTTGGACCCAGCTGGAATACACACTGCACCTGGCAGGCCTGCATGGGTATGTTTCTGTGTGCAACCCCTGTCTGGCCTGGGACCTGCCATCCTCTGCTGGATTTTTACAAGATCATTATTTGCTGAACCTCTTAATTTCTGTGGTTGAGTGAATTCCTGTTTGTTACCTATGTCTGCTGCTGACAATTTTGACAGTGTATTTCCTATGTTCCTTAACTTGAGGCTTTCCAGCAGAAAAAATCTGAACACATGTTTATTAGAGGAAACCAGGGATAGCTTCTCAGATATCTTCTGTGGAGACATTTCTAATAGAAGAGGTCTTGTGGGAAAAAAACTATGAAGACAGTTTTCAGGATGAGGAAATTCAGGAATAGTGTCAGAGATGGCTGTGCTGCCAAAACAAAGGGATTAGAAAGGAAAGGTACCTACAGAGCAGAGCGAGTAAATGAAACCAGTCAGAGACGTGAAGGGAACGTGAAAAGGAGTTTCTGCTCTATGGACAGCAGAGATGGTGAGTGTGGAGTCAGAAGCTGCAAAGAGCAGGACGTTTGAGGTGGTGTGGTGAACACTTAAGAAAGCCACGTGATGTGGAAAGTGATGTGCAAGCCTTTCACTTTCTACCAGTCTGCCAGTGCTTGGCTAGTCCACAGTTACCTTTCTGTTCACTCTGCTCAATTTAGGAAATGCATGTAATAGAAATATTGCTGTGTACTCTTTGGCTGAAAAGACAAAACAGAACATTTTTGGTTTACACCAAAAATGAGGTTTTGGGCATCATTTGGCCTCTCTGTGATCTTCTTTTGAGGGGTGTATTTCAGTAGCAGCTAGCTCCTAATCTGTCTTTGCTTTAAACAACACCACCCAATTTTTCTCTGCAGGAAAGTTCACATTACAAAGACCACCTTAGAGTGCCTAAACGGGGACTACGAGGTAGAGCCAGGGTATGGGCATGAAAGGAATAGTTTCCTGAAGAAGCATAATATTGAAACATATTTTATTGTGCCATCCCATCGTAGGAAGGTAAGCTCCACAAATTCTAGCTTATTCTGTCATGTGTTTTCATAATTTAACAACTGTTCTGTGATATTCTGAAAGCAGAGGCAATACTGGTATTTCTTATTTCTAAAAGCTCTTTAAAGACCCTTGAAATTAGATCTTTTGGTTTGGACTGAGGCAGGAGTGCTAAAAAAGCTCGCCTTGAATGATACGTAGAGAAGATGATCCATTTACTTTTGAAGTTCAAAACCAAAATAATTTTTCCCTTTACCCCTGAAAAAGAAAACTGTTGTTTTATTCAGATTCTATAATCATTCTATCAGTAATTAAATGATACGTTACTCCAAAAGTTTAATTCACTCTTCCCTTCCTCCTCCCTTCAAAAGGCTGTTTCAGAATATGAATGCTCACAGCTTGGCTATTTTTCTCCTAGTTTTCTTTCCTCTTTTGTTCACATCTTCCCATGCCATTTTACTGATGCTCTTCTAACCCTTTCTAAAACCACTTGTGATACTGGTGGCTCCTTTACTGGGCCTGGAGGATTCCCCAGTGAACAGACACAGAAAAAATAGTATTTACAAACATGTCATGCCCACAGCAGCAAAGTTAGTGAGATGAATTCAGCAGTGGTTGAACTGACACCCCCTGGAAGTCTGGAAAATCCACCAAGCTGTACAACACAAGCCCTTCTGTCCAGGTCAGAAGAGGAGGCGGCAGTCAGCCATCCTGCCCTCGAATGTCTGTGCCACTCTGCCACAGATCAGGTATTTGTGATGAAGCCAAGTACATTTTCTAAGTTACTGCAACAAATAAGATATTCTCTGTCCAAACATGCATGTGTTTTCTCCTGCTACATTGAGCTGCTCATCACAAGTTCCATGTTTTCCTTGCTTGCTCTGCCACCTCAGACTCCCGCAATGATTTTGGTCATCCTGTTCTTATCTGAGCTGCCCTGCCCTCCAGATTCTCTCAAGCTCCCCTCTCCCTTCAGCCTCTTCCTTCTGTCAGACCCCTGGAGATGTGCTGGGGAAAGAGGAGTAAGTCAGCCGTGCTGTTGAGGGACAATAACATTTTCTGCTGTTTTCTTCTTTTTGGTGGAGAACAGAAAATGGAAAATGTGGAAAGATAAGGTAAGAGAAGAATTTAGCTCATTTGAGCAGGAACTTCGTCTCTGAGATGTTGCTCAGGATTTAGCCACCCCCGATGGAGATGGATGTGACTCCTCGTTCTAACCAGATTTCCAGAATAAGGAGAACGGAGGCCCAGCAGTGTGATTGGAAATGTCTTGAATCACAGAATCCTTTGGTTGGAAAAGACCTTTGAGATCATTGAGTCCCCATCCGTACCTGTCCACTGCTAAACCATCTCTCTGAGCACCCCATCTACCCGTCTGTTAAATCCCTCCAGGGATGGGGGCTCCACCACCTCCCTGGGCAGCCCGTTCCAGTGCCTGAGAACCCTTCCAGTGAAGAATCACTTCCTGATATCCAATCTGAACCTCCCCTGGCTCAGTGTGCAGTGAAGGTGGTGACAGTGGTTTTGCAACAGGTTCTTTTATAGTCACACCTTTCTTCCTCAGCCACTTACTGAGTTTAGGGCAGCCTTTTGTTCTACTGCAAAATGTTTTGTGACTTCAGTAGGAGTCTTGAAAGTCCATAATCATCATTAAAAAACATTCAGTTTGTTCCAGGTTTTTGCGCATCAGACGAGGCTTATCTTAGGAGTAAGCTGCTGTAACATGTTTACAGGCCAAGAGGAACTTTATTGCTCTTTATCTCAGCCCGACAACTCGGGTTACAGACTTCTGCCCCCTGTACCTTCTGGAACTCTGCCCAAACAAGTTTCATTCAGGGATTTGACCTTTAGAGGGAAAATTGTAATACCCGATTTGGAAAGTAAGTATGGAAACAATACAGCTGAGGTTTTAAAGTGATGTCAAAGCTCTGTGCTTGAGGGTGTCAGCCAACAGATGTTTGACAAAAATGTCACCAGGAAAAACCAGGTTCAATCCGATGCCTGCAGTCAGGTTCTTGGTCTGAATTTAATGACTGAGGGGGTTCTTATGGAAATGTTGGGAGTCTAGTCACCAGGGAGTGAAACCTCCTGTTGTTTTATCTCAGAAAGGCTGCTGCAAGGGCGGGGTTTTTATGCACTTCTGCTAAAGCTTCTTGTTATCAGAGGCATGGAGTATTCTCATCAGCTGTGAGAGTCATGCAGTCTCAGGTTTTGTTCTTCTGCTGGTATGTACGATTAGCTCTGGTTTTAGGTGGTGTGAAAGAAAACAAGTGGAAATCCAGTGGGCTAGATTCTGTTTTGGCAGTCAGAGAGAGATATTTCTTTCTCAAAACCAGAGTTAGTTCCTAAATTAATCAATCCCAATAAAGAAGAAAACATAAGAGTGAGTTTAATTAAGGTAGGTGTGTAGCTTATTGCTGCTACCTTTGTTTGTCTTGTTTTCTGCTGTTTCCTCTCCTCCAGCATTGTGTACAATTTAATTTCCTGGGTTATTATGTATCAGGTTTCATTTCCTATTGAGAAGAGAAATAGCTGAATTTCAGGCAGTTGTGGATAGGTTGGTGCATAGAGCCAAGTAGAGAGAAAAGGGGGTCATAGAGTCATGGAATTTTGTGAGTTGGGAGGGACCCACCAGGATCATCCAGTCCAACTCCTGTCCCTGCACAGGACAAGCCCAACATTCACACCATGTCCCTGAGGGCACATGTTGGCCAAATGCTGCTGGAATCTTGTCAGGCTTGGTGCCATGAGCACCTCCCTGGGGAGCCTGTTCCAGTGCTCCACCACCCTCTGCCTCAAGAACCTTTTCCTCATGGCCAACCTCACCCTCCCCTGCCACATCTTCCTGCCATTTCCTCTGCTCCTGGCATTGGTTGGTGGCCAGAGAGAAGAGATCAGCGCCTGCCCCTCCTCTGCCCCTGGGGAGGAAGTTCTAGACCCCCATGAGATCTCCTCTCAGTCTCCTCTTCTCCAGGCTGAACAATCCAAGTGACTTCAGCCTCTCCTCACACGGCGGAGTGTGGCCACTACAGATAGAAGCTGTGTTGTGCCAACTCCGCTGCATAAACCAGGGACTGAGGGACAGAAGCTTGAAGTTCAGGTATGAAACTAAACCAGGTCAAGGCGTGTTTAACGCACAAGTGTGAGAGCCTGCTGCTGTGTGAGCACCCAGCTCTTCACCACTGACACCTCAGAGACACAGGAACAGCGGGCTTCCCGTGAAGCACAGGCACGGTGGAGTTTCCTTAGGTGGACTCAGGTATCTGCTGGTTTGATATTGCATTCCTTCCTCTGCAGCCTCGGGAGCTGAAATGCAGACACATTTTTCTTTGTGCATCATCTCTGACATTAATATGAACTGACTCTAGCAGGTATGATGCCAAGAGGAATGAAAATCAATGTTATGAGCAACAGATGGCCAAGAATCTGTTGAATTTGAAAGGTAAATAGGCCCACTTAGGATTTTTTAAAAATTTATTTATTTATTTAGAAGTCACAAACCCCGCAATCTTCCATATTTGGTCTGACAGGAAGATCTTTCTTCACAAATATTGTCCAAGCCAAGAAGGCTGTAGAAGGTAAAAAGCACTGCAGTTAATTGTTTTTCATTTATTATTTCCATTCAAATTGAAGTTCCATCTATATTTGTAGGAAATTTCCTTCTCTGCAAAGCTAATTGGGTTTAATCACTCTGGTTAGGTCTATGTGAACATGCCATACTGTTCTCAGATTCTCCTCTTTTCTCCAAAAAACCCATAAAATCTGTGTTTTCCACGGAGCACTTATGGCCCAATAGATCCATCCATATGGCTAGCAGCTCCCCAGGATTTATTTGCCTCTGACTCTTCTGAAAATATTCAATCTGCTTTGTCTCAAGGAAGTTTCCATGGTCATAGTGAGTTGTCAGCTTCCTGGACTAATTCATTCTGAGGCTATTTTTAGTGAAGTGACCATATGCTTACCAGTCCTTCTGGAGTGCTGGAGCTCTGACTCCTCCACAACACGTAGCGACAGAAGAAGAGAGCTTCACAGTTATTGCAGGGCATGTGGAAACTCCCAGCTCCTCAGACAAACTCTCTCCTTTGGTAGCACACAGCAAGCAACAATGTGTTTGACAAAATTGTTCTATCTTGAGCTGTCCCCAGTGAGGCACCTGAGCCCATGGTTGGGCACACATGGACGATTTCTGCTTCCAAGCTGGTGACTGCCTGCAGCTAACGGCTGCTGCCGTGCCCAGGAGAGCCCGGGGGGTCCCAGCTCTCAGTGGCTGGCAGGTCCTACCCAGGAGCTTCACTACAGATCTGCGTGCCTACCTTGGGCATTTCAGGTTTTAACACCTCGGGTCTGGTTTAACAGGTAGACTGTCCTGGTGTGAGCTGGGCCAGAGCTGGTTTCTTTTCAGCAGCTCAACCAGCCGCTGGGGTTTGGTTCCAGCTGGGATTGGTGACGAGAACGTTGGTCACACACCGATGTTTTCAGTTGTCACTGGA